ACACACACACATATATATATATATATATATTTGTCCGAAGTGTTTTTATGCTATATATATAGCTCTTATATGTCAAACTAATTAATGTACTAGGTATGTTTTTGATAGCATACATGGACTACATGCAAACATACATGGACCACATGCAAGCACAACTCATGTGAGCATTACACAAGAAGACAAAGTGTCTCGGCCATGTCACTAAAAAGAATGCATGGTCAAGGGAGGTCAAAAAAAGTTTTTGCCATCTCATCGTGAAGAAACCATGAGAAAAATGAGAAAGCATAATGATATAGGTAGTGAAGATTGAACATGAACCGTAGGATCAAGCTCATGTTGCTTTATATATATCTTACCTTATTTGGAATCCTAGGGATTGGAGACTATGAATCATAGCGGATCTTCCAAAGAAAAAAAAAATTGTCCACTTATTTTTTAGGAGTATCTTTATGCATTTGTTCATGATCGTGGTTTTGGTCTCTGTCGTCCCCCCAATCTCCTATAAAAGAGCCAGGCCATAAATAAGAACCAGAATTCCAACAGTAATGATTAACCGTAACATAATAGAAGAGCTTGAGATAAGAGGTCGGACTCAACACGCTGGTTCAGGGTTGAATTTATTTAGAAATCTTAAAATTTTCAAGTGATGGACACTTCTTGATGAAAAAAGATGAACACACTTAGAGCATGTTTGTCTTTTGCTTCTTATCACTTTTTCAGATCTATTTCTAGCTTTCTGAACATGGTATCAAGAGCCTTGATCAGTCATTGGGACCTTTCTTTTACCCAATTTTCTACAGAAATCTAGTGACTGGCTCGAGTTTTCATGAGGTCTTAGCTCATATTTTCTGTAGATCTACTGTTTTATTTCTATCATGGCATCTCAAACTTCATCAAACAGCACAACCAACCCTCTAATACCCACCACACCCTCGTTTATTCAGCCCCAACACCAACTCATGTCCATCAAACTCACAGACACAAAATATCTACTTTAGAGACAGCAAACCAATAGTGTTATCATTGGTTATGGCTTGGAGAACTTCATTGCTGCTGACTATGACACACCACAGATCGATGTTCATCTCTCCCGAGAATACATCTCAGCCCACTCTCAACCTTGCGTATGCAGCAATATCAACTTAGCTTATCATGTTTAGTCTCATATGTTATGAATTTTCCAATTCTAGCAATCAACTATCTCCCCCAGGTCTCAAGTCAATCACAAACATGCAAAAATACATGCCCTATATTCACACAATTATATAAGCACAAGAAATTGATAAACAAAAGATAGACTACCATAATGAATAAATAAAATTACTTTATCAAATAATTCGAGTACTGACAAATCGTAGGATCCCTAAAAGGTTTAGCTACTAAAGATATTCTCAAAACTCAAAATAAATAGATACATGAGTTAATGAAGAAGAAAAAGATAAAAGAAAGAAAACTATTGTCGTTGTTAGTTCTCGAATCTTCAATCTTGACTCCTTTGAATTCTTTGTGTGTCTCTTGCTTTCTATCGGCCTCCAATGGTGTCAAAAGTCCTAAAACCGAGTTCTCCAAGTCCCTTTTATAGTGTAAGGCAATTATGAGTCGAAAAGGGAAGAAATAGCATCAGAATCCTAGTTCCTGCTGATTTGATCTGTGCGTCACACGAGTCATGTGACATTTCTTCATTTTTCACGAAACTCCCAGAATCACACGACCTGTCACATGACTCGTGTCACCATGCCACACGACCCGTGTGAAAAAGCCGTAACAAAACTATTTATTTCTTCATTCGCACGACTCGTGTCACTGACCACACGAGTCGTGTGTCTTGGACTGCACTTTGTTTTCGTCGCTTTTCGTCCTTACTCCATTTTTAACGCTTTTTTGGGCATATTTCCTGCAAAACTAACGACAAAAATACTTCTATTATAGATTAACAAATTCAAGAAAATTGTGCAGAATCCAACAATAAACACGGCTAAATATTATAATTTATCACCCATAATGCATGAAAATATGATGAATGTGACCTCTCGGCTGCTCTGCTTCGGCCACCCAATTCGTTCAACCTGATTGATCGGTTCATTGTATTTGCTCTTCTGGGTATAGTATCTCATATCAAGTTTAAATAAACTTGATTTAGTGAAGGATTTTGTTAGATTTTAATTTTGTATTTAAATAATATTTAAAATATAAATATTTTAAATGATGTAATGTAAAAGTAGGAGGGATGTTATTAGTAATGATAGATAGTTAACTAAAAACATTTGATGAATAGTGAATTAAAGTTGATGTTATGTGTTAGAATGATTGATTGATATTATCTAATTATATTGATAATATTATTGAATTTGGAAGTCCTTATAAATTTAAGGCTTGAATTTTATTCTTTCTCCATAGAAGATTTACATTGTAGGTTATTTTCAATTTATTAAGGCTCATTTTTATTTAACTTCTCAATGTAAAGTCCCTAACTTTACTTTTTGACATAAATATGTGAACCGTAATATTATTTTTTATAATCCATATTTTACATATTTATGACAAAAATATTAATTATATTTAAACAATTAACTTAAATGAGAAAATTAATCCATATGAATTAAATTTATGCAAGAGTTTAATAAATTTTATTTTCAAGAAATTACTAAGAGAATATGAAAATATACAATTTAAATATTATTTTATTATAATCTAAATATGTTATAAAACTACTAAATGTGTAATAAAATTAAAATGTACAGTGCTAAAAAATTGTAAATTGTATTTAAATATTTTTTCTCACTTTTATTACATATTTAGAATATTAATAAAAAAAAATTCAATTATATATTTATTAAAACCTTAATTATCAATTATTATTTTAAATAATACTTATTAAAATTTTGCATAAATGTAGTTTATATAGATTCACTTTCTTATTAAGGTAATTTTACCACAGATATTTATTACTTTTTATTGTAACTATATAAAATATAAATTAAAAATAAATATTTTTGTTCTCATAATTATTTCATAATATAAATTTAGTTATTTCAGATATTTATCTCAAAAAATAAAGTCAGATATGTCTTAGAAATTAAATAAAAAGGTGAGTCTATTGAGAATCACCTAAAATGTAAACCTTATATTGACAAAGGATAAAATTCATGTCATAAATTTATACAATTCCAAGAAGTTGTGGTAATGAAATTTTTTCTATAATATTGAAGAAGATTGTGTTGTGTTAAATTTGAGTTAAAAAATATAAAAAAAAAATTATTTAGATAGCTAAAACTGAATAATTTATGTAGTCAATCAGGCATTCTGCTCGAATGTATATTTAAGTTTATGTGTATGAAAATAGTAAGCAATAACTAATATTATTTTTAGAAATAAAGTTTATATTAATAACATTAAGGAATAAAAAAAAGTGAGGTGAGCTCCCAATATTCAATTATAAGATATTAACTCATTTACATTTTTCAATTACGGATCATATAAATTATTATATGATTGCCTGTGAAAGTCTTCGTGAACGCTTCTTATATATTACTCATTGGCATATTTTTCTATTATTAATAAAAATGACATGAATTTCAAAACATACTCATATTACCATCAATTATACAGCTGGCACCATTTCCACGCTTGGAATAAATTAACAAAGTAAGAGAGGGGGACATTTAGAGCACATTTGTTAAACCTGATTGGATAAGATTAGCCACTTTATCTGCTTTACTCTTGCGTTTGTTGCACCCAATTACGGCCCGCCAAATAAGTTCAGGCCCGCGACCAAAAAGGTGATAATCGTGCGTTTCCACGATTAATGAATCTTGCGTGGGGGGGTGTGATTAAATAAGTCTGTACAGTGGCCCCTATGCGCAAAGTCAATACTACCCCTGCTTTTATAAATTTTTTTCACCATAACACCTTGGTTTATTTGAAAATTACCAAATGCCATCTCACTTACCACATCTTCATTGTAGCTGCCCCTGGATATTTTATTCAACATGTTTTGTACATTTCTTAAGAAATTTTTCTATCTATTTGCTCCCAGCTTAAATCATAATATTTTTTATCATGTAAATTTGCACGAAAATCAATGCTCGTTGTTCAAAAGGATGGTGCTCCGACTACACACTCTAATTTTCGCGAACGGTCACGAGCTATGTCAACCCATAATAATTCCGCCGGTCGTTTCGCTTGGTCAGTTGAAAACCCTTTTTTTTAAAAAAAAAAAGAAAGAACATAAAAGCAAAGGAAGATGAAGATGAGTTTGCCTCACTGAATTTTATTTTATTTTTAAAGAAAATCAACCAATGAAGATGAATATGAAGATGAGTTTGCCTCACTGAGGTGGTGGTGCATCGAGAGTAGATTTTATACTTGATTTTTTTATTTTATATTCAATTTGGTGAAGAATGAAAAGGAAAACAATAGGGCAATGTGGTCAATTCATTTCTTATCCTAAACATAATCTTGGTAAACAAACCTATACTCGTGATTTTTCAGAAATCCTATCTTAGGAATGATCATTGATACCAAACAAAGTTTTATGGTTGTCTATACAGTACAATCTTGTCACTCCATACAAGATTTCAATTATCCTGTCATGGCTATCAAATATGCTCTTAATAGAACATGAGTGAGCAGTAAAAAGGCATTGTTACTACCTATTTCCTATATTTTATAGATCCACAAAAGTCATTCAAGGAAGAAATTACTACCTATCAATCATATCACTATATTATTACTGTCATTAATTAAACTAAAATGCTGCGTGTAATTAGTAAAACACTCGGTCCAAAAACGCGCATCCTTAACTGACGCAATCAGCCAAAAAGGCAAAAGGCAAACTTTGTCTGGGATGAGGAATGAACAGTAAGGGAGTTTCCCCTCAATTTCCAATTGTACCCCTCCCAGCTCCCCTCCATAAATAGACCTGCACCCCGCCACACACAAACACAATCCCCCCGACCATCAACTACATACTCAGTTAA